CTCTACTGGTGTTGGAGTAGGTGACGGGATTTCTGTTAGGTAGTGCTTGTTAGTGTGGTCCAGTTTTGTTAGTATTGTAGATGTTGGCGGCTCTGTACACGATCCGATAGTTGAGTCGTCATTTAATGAAAGTCCACCTGCTTTAGTGTCAGTGTCCTTCTTTTCTTTGTTCTGTCGTTTCAAAAAGACAGAATTCCTGACCTTCCAGCGTGACAGCCAGCCTGATGAGGCATTAAAGTTGTGGTAGTTTAGTTGTATGCTGATCTCCTTGGCCTTCTCCATCAGTATAGGCCCACTGATGGGAACACCACTCGACTTGGCATTGTGAAACCATGTGGTTAGTGCCGCCTCTATGTCTTTTGCAGATCCTGTCCGCTGTCGTTTTCGTTCTTTGTTGAGGTTAGTCTTAAACAGTGTTCGTATCTCCTCTTTCTTAGAAGCAATCCTAGAAATAGTGGAGGCAGAACACTGTAGTCGGATTGAAATTTCTGCCTGAGTAAGCTTTTGGTCTAATAAGTTGATAATCTCGTACTTCTGTGCTAGGGATAAGTCATTTCTCTTTTTCCTCAGAGCCTGAATAGTCAGAGTGGAGCTGTAATGGAAGACCAAACACAATTGTTACCTATATTTATTTGTATGTATTGTGCGTACAAACACCACCTCTATTATTTGTTAACCTAATCTGTGTATATATTGTACCAGTGCATTGATGAGTAATTTTCAGATCTTCATTAGATACTGTAAGTGCACATATCTTAGTAGTAGTAATCCTATTATAGTGTTCCTCACCCTCGTGCCTAAACTGTACTTTAACCCGACATTGTGTCATACTTAACTACCTTTTGAAATTTCCACAGGGAGATTCTGCATTTTCAAAATTAAAACATTAATAAAATGTGTGTATAAACCCTGTAGACACAAAAAACCGATTTAAAATGAAATTGAGTTGTTCTTTCAGATAAAATCATTAGATCTTGGACTAAAGGAATAGTTTTGCAAATTCAGTGATTGAAAATACTAAATTTAGGACTCACACAACTAAATCAGCCAATCAGCAAGTGTGTCATACGATTGTAATCCCTATCTAAAATTAGTTCCTCTGAGTAATTTAAATAGGTAATTGTTGACATATTTTACATGGAATGAAATCTATAGATATTGAACTTAAGAAAAATGTTTAGTTTTAGTAGATTTTAAAAAGGGATGGCGGATTGATATGGGGTCAAATGTCAGGGGGTGGTCCCGTCCCATTTCACCGGTTTGGCTTGTAAACTTCTGGTTGTCAAATGCAGACGCCTGTTTAGCGCTCTTATATGCCACCTAACTCACCAAAATTGCCTTTTAAATCGTTCGTCAGGTATGTATCTGTGAATCTAGACAGTTGTGACGTCACTTGTGTTGAACTTCAAATATAAACGGCATTAGCTCAAAAGCTTAGTATTAACATATAGTAAATGATTTAGTTGTGCGAGCCATTTAAGGGAAATAGTCATGTCCTCCATGAACCCGACCTTTCACACATTTTTCTGTGTTTCAAGACACTTTTTTTAAAGACAGTCACTGTTATTGGGTCTTAGCACTTTTTGTTCAGTATGTGAATATATATATAACTTGATAAAACTTAATAATTAGGTTAAATCGGGGCTAAATATGGCTCTGTGCTAAAGCCTGTATAGTTGGACTGACCCTAACACTCAGGTTTTTATTGGGATTGTGTTCAATTTACTGAAATAAATGATCTGCATGTGTTCCAATAGTACTATATAATTATCTGTGTACCAGCTTTTAGCACATATCTTCATAGAACAGAAATATAGTGTGCTGTCCTGCACATTTATCCCCCTCCCCCTCCCTGTTCATTACCACCTCTGCTCAGTCATTCTTAGGCCACTTCTCTCATTCAATTTCTGTGTTTAAAAGACAGCAATGACTAAATTCAAGTTTAAAATCTCAATATCTCTAGAAACTTCAATAACCTGTTTCAGCATACCCCCGATGTGTAAAATTACACCACAGATTTTAGCACAAGTTACATAGCACGTTATACACACATTTTTAAAGCACAATATTGTATTTAGCACCATTTTATTGTTCGGTATAATAAATGTGCTCATTCCAAGTGTATGAGAGTTGTTAGCTGGCTTCTGCATGGAGTTGTGCTGTCATAGTTTCATATTCACCCTCCCCAGATTTGAAAATAATTTTTGTTGAGTCATGATTTTTGAATTTCTTATTTTTGTCATAGATTGATTGTCTCTTCATAACTGTTATACCCCTCAGCACCACAGAACAAGCTATTACAAAAGTTGCACATGTGCGTATCTTAGTGTATGTGTCGCATATAGTTTTTTTGGCTTAATCCAACTTAAATTCCCTTTTTTTAGTGAATTGTAGTTTTTTTTTTTTATTCCTGTCACAATATATACCTTGACCAACAAAGATGTTTATTGATTTAATGTGTATTTGTTTTGTGTTTACTCAGACAATTAGCTGTTTATAGCATTACATCTCCCCTACCCCCAATAGTCTCCCTGTAGAGTGCCAGCACCCTAAGGAACAAGAAGTGCTATATATGTTAGTCTGTATAACTGATAGCTGATCAGTTAAGATGGATTTCTGATAACCTTTTATGACTCATGTTAAGTGTAAATTTTTTGAATTTTGTGTGAATTTTAAGTGTGTTAAATTGTCAAAATTCAATCTGTAACGTCAGTGAAGGCAAATTCGTCACATTAGTAAGGGTTTCTGTTAATAATTTGACCAAATAGGCATGTGTCAAAATGCTGACGAGCACCAATACAGAAGAAGATTTGACTGAAATGCCTATAAATAAACATTGTTGTAAACACGTCTGAATGAAGTCACGCAGCAACATTTGTGACGTCATCAGGCCTTCCGTGGTTTTGCTCAAAGGTGCAGGCAGTTTCGCCACCTTCAAACATTTAACTACAGTAATCTACAAGTAATCTAAATGTTTAAATGTAAAAAAAAATATGTTTATGTTACACAAGCTGTACCGATACGAACAGCTCCAAATGTGTGTGTGTAACAATGATTTACATTGAAATACATGGCTTTTCTTAGTTGTGATAGTTAGTTTTCGGTAACTTGAAGAAACGGATTAATGTTGTTTAAGAAAGATGACGGGTATTGGCCGAGATGATGTCAATTTACGCAATAAAGACTCAGTCCTTAACAAATATAAAAAAGCTTCCAAATCGCTGCCCAATATTATATTTTTCATCGGGTCAGGATGAGAGGGTCCAGGGCTTTCAACGATCCCCCCCCCCCACTTTTTGGATAATTTGTCACATGTACGTCTCCGATTGTCTTGCACGTCTACGGGAAACATCTGACAAATCAAAACGATTTTCTTGGGCTTGAAAACTTATTCAACAAAGACTGCTCGGCCAGGTGTTGTAAATGTACTTACTTTTTCATGTAAAAATCAGTCTTTGGTAACTGTCGGTCTCTACGTACAATCAGCATGCGATTGTACAGCAGCACTTTCAGGCCTTTCGGATATAAATCTAGAAAATTTCTAGATGATATTTTAATTTAAGTGTTGTAAGATTGTTGAACGTAAGACTCAAACAATAGTTTTAAAAAGATACTGGTTGATTGTATTCTAAATACACATTGCATGAAAATGGAAACTGACGAATTATCAAATCGCGGATCTTTTCGGTCGTCATTTCCATAAACTCGCAGTGGATCGTCAGTACATTGTACATGTACCAAAGTACACTTGTAGAAAAAAACAATTTACTTGCATTAACTGCAATTAGTGTTAAGATATGGGTATTTTCATGTGTATGTAATAAATTACACTAAATAACAACCAACTGACCTCAGATTAATGAGTTTAGTTGACGAGATGTCCGTCGCACAGACCAAATTTTTAAGATTTGTTATGTTACACGATATTTCATAACTATTCTGATTAAAATATAGTTTTTCCCTTCTTATACCTCTTCTTGTCAAAATATTTGAAGGCTTTAACTGTGTTGAAGACTATGGCGACGTTATTTACGTCACATCTATGTATTATGACGTCATATGGCATTTTCGTCACAGGGTGGCGAATTTGGGTGCATGGTGAATTTGCCTGCACTAATGTTACAAATTACAGAAACAGAGGTACCAAAATTTCTTTTCAAAAATATGTGAGTGGTATGGGTAATAAATGTGTGTGCAAAATATGAAATTGCTGAGTGTGTGCTAAATTGGTGAGCTAGATGTTAATGTTAAGTAAGGGAAATGAGAATTTTTCATAACTTATTATTTTATTTCCACCAAACTTCACTATTTTACTCAGTAATGTATATACTTTCAAAAACTTACTTTATTTCAACATGTTTAAATGTTAAACGTCCTTTAAGGGTCCGAAATGGGGAGTCTCTCTTCTAAATACGGTGAATTGGCAAGCATGTTATGTGAGCGCCATGTGATCCTATTTGGTTCTTATAATATCCCACGCTCTTATAGTTGCAAACTCCTTTCCTTCATTTTAGGCAAAGCCTCGGGTCTCCTTCTCAATATTTCATCCCTTGGGTTTGAATAACCTTATCCATACCTCACATCAGGGACGGATTCTATTAGTAAGTATTTGAGAAAGGTTAAGTATCACAAGAAGTAATAAGTGTTTATGTGCGACATTTCGATGACTAGTACAGTATATACCCTAGCTGTCACCTTTATCAGACAAATGACAAGTGCAGCGTATGTATACAAAGGTGTAAAATTGTTATTGTTCAGAAATGATTTGCTTATGCAATAGCGATGCCGAAGAAAAAACAACAATGCCTCATTACATTTTTAAGCAGAGGGACAGGGATCCTTAAGGGGACAAGTTGGTTATGAAAAGGTCTTAAATTTTTTAATTATACTTTGGATCATTTAAACGGGACATGCTATTTAAATCAACGAAGCAGAGCATCCTGGTCATTGTCGGTTTCAGCGATCCCCATTGAGTTGATTTAAAACAGTACACAACAATACTTTCACAAACTAAGAAGCTTTAATACACTCTGATACATCTTTATGTACTAGGAATATACCGTGAAAGTAAACATTACAATAGCAGGTTATACAGACAAAAACAACACGTACTGGTCTAGAGACCTAATACATGACTAACACTGAAACAGCATTATAAACACCACTGTTATAGTGTACTAGGCCTTACACTGAAACAGCATTATAAACACCACTGTTATAGTGTACTAGGCCTAACACTGAAACAGCATCATAAACACCACTGTTATAGTGTACTAGGCCTAACACTGAAACAGCATTATAAACACCACTGTTATAGTGTACTAGGCCTAACACTGAAACAGCATTATAAACACCACTGTTATAGTGTACTAGGCCTAACACTGAAACAGCATTATAAACACCACTGTTATAGTGTACTAGGCCTAACACTGAAACAGCATTATAAACACCACTGTTATAGTGTACTAGGCCTAACACTGAAACAGCATTATAAACACCACTGTTATAGTGTACTAGGCCTAACACTGAAACAGCATTATAAACACCACTGTTATAGTGTACTAGGCCTAACACTGAAACAGCATTATAAACACCACTGTTATAGTGTACTAGGCCTAACACTGAAACAGCATTATAAACACCACTGTTATAGTGTACTAGGCCTAACACTGAAACAGCATTATAAACACCACTGTTATAGTGTACTAGGCCTAACACTGAAACAGCATTATAAACACCACTGTTATAGTGTACTAGGCCTAACACTGAAACAGCATTATAAACACCACTGTTATAGTGTACTAGGCCTAACACTGAAACAGCATTATAAACACCACTGTTATAGTGTACTAGGCCTAACACTGAAACAGCATTATAAACACCACTGTTATAGTGTACTAGGCCTAACACTGAAACAGCATTATAAACACCACTGTTATAGTGTACTAGGCCTAACACTGAAACAGCATTATAAACACCACTGTTATAGTGTACTAGGCCTAACACTGAAACAGCATTATAAACACCACTGTTATAGTGTACTAGGCCTAACACTGAAACAGCATTATAAACACCACTGTTATAGTGTACTAGGCCTAACACTGAAACAGCATTATAAACACCACTGTTATAGTGTACTAGGCCTAACACTGAAACAGCATTATAAACACCACTGTTATAGTGTACTAGGCCTAACACTGAAACAGCATTATAAACACCACTGTTATAGTGTACTAGGCCTAACACTGAAACAGCATTATAAACACCACTGTTATAGTGTACTAGGCCTAACACTGAAACAGCATTATAAACACCACTGTTATAGTGTACTAGGCCTAACACTGAAACAGCATTATAAACACCACTGTTATAGTGTACTAGGCCTAACACTGAAACAGCATTATAAACACCACTGTTATAGTGTACTAGGCCTAACACTGAAACAGCATTATAAACACCACTGTTATAGTGTACTAGGCCTAACACTGAAACAGCATTATAAACACCACTGTTATAGTGTACTAGGCCTAACACTGAAACAGCATTATAAACACCACTGTTATAGTGTACTAGGCCTTACACTGAAACAGCATTATTAACACCACTGTTATAGTGTACTAGGCCTAACACTGAAACAGCATCATAAACACCACTGTTGTAGTGTACTAGGCCTGCTAGACAGGTACTGCCCAGAGCACACAATAGAGACTCAGAGTAATCTCCCCTTATAACTTCAGCAACCCAGTGACAAGGTTTATTATATAACTAATGGGTTATATTATACACAAGGTAGAGAATATAATCGATCAAAGATATTTATGGATTTACAACAATCAGTAAACTTGTATAAACTGATCTTCATGATCAGCTACCAACAACCAAACAAATCTTAGCCTGAGTTTGACTCTAGTTTTTTACGAACAACCCTGAACAGTGACTTCAAGTATAACATAAATAAAAGGCATATATATATCCAAACAGTGGAGGCTGCCAAAATCAGAATTGATATTTTACATAGAAATGTACACAAATGTGCCAAGCTGAAGGTCTAGTTTAGACAGGTTTTCAGAATACAACCAAGCTAAAGCCAATGTCTTGCTTTTGTTGATTTCATTATTATTTAGGATTCAATTGAAACAGGTTTACCCTATAATTAATGAAAATATCAGATACCTTCCCCTAATACACCGATACTTGTATACACAGTATGTAATTTCACTGAATAGCATTAATATCAATTGAATAAATCATTTTCACACTGACATTTATTCAATGAATGTTATAAAATTACTTATATTTCAGAAATATGTACATAGAATAGAATTCATCATTTGTTTAATTTGAAATAAAATTTGAGAAACAAGTCTTGAAGATTTCACATTAGCCACTGCCAAGCTAAAATGTAAACTTCGGGATATGATTCATTTACCTTGTATGAAATAGAAACAAATTTTAAGATCAATTGTATCACATTAATAAAAGCCTTATTATGCAAATGTTAATGAAAATGAAGTTTTCTGACCACTGTTCAGCTGTCCCGGGGAGGGGGGCATCACATGTGGTCAGCCATGTGATATACATATATATAAATCATATATACAGAATAAAAAGTATTTTGTTTATCACAAAGATATATAAATGATTCTGTAGTTCACTCTTTTTTATTCCACCAGAGCTATATGGCTTTATATGGAAGTAGTATTTATTTTAATATTAACAATTTTTAAGTCGCAAATTGCTTTCAGATGAAAATGAATCTAATGTGAAATGAATCTAATGTGAAATTCTTTTTAGAAAACATATACAGTTAAATTCCAAGAAAATTACTAGGCTAAGCATGTTTTGCATAATGAAATATACATCACAGGGAGATAATTACAAAGTAGTGCCAGTCTGACAAACAGAATCAAGGGAGATAACACAAAGTAGTGCCAGTTTGACAACCAGAATCAAGGGAGATAACAAAGTAGTGGCAGCTGTGTCCGACAACCAGAATCAAGGGAGATAACACAATAGGGACAAAAAATTCTTTGCTTGACAACCAGAATCATAAGATGTAACATATTTGTGGTAATAATGTCCATTGCCCGACAACCAGTATCATGGGAGATAAAAGAGTAGTTACGGTACACAATGTCCCCTGCTTGACAACTAGAATCAAGGGAGGTAACGCGAAAGTGGTATTTATATATCCCGTTTGATAACTGACCAATCTATGAAGTTTTATCAGAATCCTTGGTCGATAGAGCTTCTATTAATAGTAATGGTGACCTTGACATCTTGGCATTCATATAAACAGGTTGGTGATATTTCTAGTTTATCATATTACAAAGTAGGTCCCTAAATGTGAAATATTTCAATTATTATGGTGTCCTCGAGTTGATAATACAAACATTGTACATAGAATTCATTTTGTGCACGCGTATATATGCTAATATTTTGCACATAATCACATTTCATAATGAATCAATGATTTGTGTGGGTACTAGTTCTATCACATGGGATCCTTGGGTTGGTAATATATTCTACACATAATCATATATCATAATGAATCAGTGATTTGGGTACTATTTCTATCACAGGGGATCCTTTGGTTGTGGTTGAAAGTCAGTGGGCTGTAGAGAGAAATGTTGAGAAGGGGTGGGATAGTTAGCAGGGTTAGGAGTTCTATAGACCGCGGAGGAACTTGGTTGTTGCTGTTGACCGTCGAAGCTAGAGGCCTGTACTTTGAAGTGATGTGACTGGGTATCCCCAGGAGCACCTAGGTTGTATGTTTTCCCCTGAGGATCGAAAGATGTTGTATGCATATGGAAGTCAGCATTCGGTGGTTGAAAATGTTCATTCTGGGTATCTAAATAGTCTTTAGCATGTAAATCAAACTCTCTTGGAGAGATGTGATAGTCTGGTGTTGAACTTGAGTGGTGGTAGTCTTTATATTGTGAGTGGTAATTTTTCACAGGCTCTGTTATATAGTCGCTGGATACCGGTTGTGCAAGATAACTAGTTGATGATGGGGAAGGGTAATCACCCGTTTGGGGTGGGTCTGTATTCTTCTCTGACAAACTGTATTCTTTGTTTGTCATATCTTGTTTAATTGTCTTGTTATTAGGACTCCCTGGCTCACTTTCCTCCGTATCTGCATCATTGGTGTCCTCTTCCTCTTCACTAACAGTGTCTATTTCTGGTTTCTCTGGTAACGTGTCTTCCTGACCACTGTACGCTGTTTTGTTCTCCGCAATGTCTCTGTCCGGGAATACCGGTGGCTCACTGTACAGAAGATTGGATGGCATAAGGCCAATCTTACTACAGTCCTGTGCTCCAGGACTCATTCCCGATGTTAAACCTGGAGGCATCGGAGGGGCCACACCTGTAGCAGGCATGTCCAATACATGTGGCACTACCTCTATCCTCGCACTGTCATCTTGTGGGTTGTTTGGTACATAGTCGACCCTCGATCTGAACGTATCATTGCTGGACACTTTGAAGGATTTGATAGAGTAGCGTGACTTCCAGCTCTGCAGCCAACCATTAGATGCCTTGAAGTCTGGCATTCTGAGTTCATGTGCATACTTTAAAGAGCGTTCCTGAATGAGTGTACCTGACACAGGGATGCCCCTGGCCCGAGCCTCAAGATACCAGCTCCACATGAAGCGATTTAGCTGCTCAAACTTACATGAGTTGTGGAAACGACGTTTATTCAAATCTGCATTTTCCTCATATTGCTTCATGTAGAAATCTGATTTCTTAAGGATATCTGACACTGTGGAACGCCCAAGTCCATACTTCATGGCGAAGGCTTTCTGACGAGGTTTAGGAGATTTTTTGTATTCCCGGATCAGCTCAATTTTCTTTTCCAATGGGAGCTCCATGCGAGTTTTCTTCTTCTGGGCTTGAGGTCGCACCATGTACATTGCCCAATCCTCATCCCCAAAGCTAGAAAGGAAAGGAGACGGTCTCAGCATCAAGTCACAACTACAGCTTCAATATTTTATAACAGTTTTAGTGTGATACTTAACAATGTCTGTCTGAGAACGTTTTACAGATATAGTAGTGTTTCTCAATCTTACAAAACAGAATTCTGGTTACATTCATGTAAAAATAAGTATCAAAACAAAACAGGTGTTACGTTATATAAAATACAATATTTTTCAAATAACAAAAATAGTATACTGTAAACTGATATAATGATGAATGAAATAATTGTCCTGTTTATGTCATATACAATACTGTTAGATGCAATTAGTTGAGTGAAGTTAGGATGTGAAAGTGTGTGGATGTATGTATAATGTCAACAGAGCATCAGCTAACACTTCTAATCTGGTAAAAATACTTAAATCAATAGTTCCTTTTCATATTGGTATTTTGACATGAAGTATTTCATGAGCGCAAAGCAAATTTGGAGGAAACAGATTACTCCAGATTTATGAGTGAACTGGTATTCAAACCTGTTATTCAACCTCAAATATCCAAGAACACCCCATCATTGGATATGGCCAAGATCTGGTTTCATTAACAATACCTTCCTATTCTTTTTATAGCATACCCTGATTTTTTCAGCAAATTTTACTAAAGCACTGTAAAAGTCAATACCCCTTATATACACGTCAAATATTCAATAAATAAGCATATTCCCTAACACACAGGCCCTCCGTTTTTGATAATGGTAAAACCAGAATCATACCAGTAGTATTTTAAGGCTGAATTAATGTATCACTCCGGTCAATTAAAGATTCCTGACATAACCAACAGACAGGTGTACCTGACATAACCATCACATACAGTTGTACCTGACGTAACCATCACATACAGATGTACCTGACATAACCATCACATACAGTTGTCCCTGACATAACCATCACATACAGGTGTCATACAGGTGTACCTGACATAACCATCACATGCAGTTGTACCTGACATTACCATCACATACAGGTGTACCTGACATAATCGACAGTTGTACCTGACATAACCATCACATACAGGTGTTCCTGACATAACCATCACATACAGTTGTACCCGACATAACCATCACATACATTTGTACCCGACATAACCATCACATACAGTTGCACCCGACATAACCATCACATACAGTTGTACCCGACATAACCATCACATACAGGTGTACCTGACATACCCATCACATACAGTTGTCCCTGACATAACCATCACAGACATGTGTACCTGACATGACCATCAGACAGGTGTATCTGACATAACCATCACAGACAGGAGTACCTGACATAATCATCAGACAGGTGTACCTGACATAACCAACAGACAAGTGTACCTGACATAACCATCACAGACAGGAATCCCTGATATAACCACTAGATAGGAGTCCCTGACATAACCACCACAGACAGGTGTATCTGACATAACCATCACAGACAGGTGTACCTGACATACTCATCAGACAGGTGTACCTGACATAATCACCAGACAGGTGTACCTGCCATAACCATCACAGACAGGAATACCTGATATAACCACCAGACAGGAGTACCTGACATAACCATCACAGACATGTGTACCTGACATAACCATCAGACAGGCGGATCTGACATAACCATCACAGACAGGGGTACCTGACATAACCATCAGACAGGTGTATCTGACATACCCATCACAGACAGGTGTACCTGACATAATCACCAGACAGGTGTACCTGACATAACCATCACATACATGTGTACCTGACATAACCATCAGACAGGTGTACTTGACATAACCATCACAGACAGGTGTATCTGACATAATCACCAGACAGGTTTACCTGACATAACCATCACATACAGTTGTACCTGACATGACCATCACATACAGTTGTACCTGACATAACAATCACATACAGTTGTACCTGACATAACCATCACATACATATGTACCTGACATAACCATCACATACAGTTGTACCTGACGTAACCATCACATACAGTTGTACCTGACATAACCCTAACATACAGTTGTACCTGACATAACCATCACATACAGATGTACCTGACATAACCATCACATACAGTTGTCCCTGACATAACCATCACAGACAGTTGTACCTGACATAACCATCAGACAGGTGTACCTGACATAACCATCACAGACAGGTGTATCTGACATAATCACCAGACAGGTGTACCTGACATAACCATCACAGACAGGAATACCTGATATAACCACTAGATAGGAGTACCTGACATAACCATCACAGACAGGTGTACCTGACATAATCATCAGACAGGTGTACCTGACATAATCATCAGACAGGTGTACCTGACATAACCAACAGACAAGTGTACCTGACATAACCATCACAGACAGGTGTACCTGACATAACCACCAGACAGGAGTACCTGACATAACCATCACAGACATGTGTACCTGACATAACCATCACAGACAGTAATACCTGATATAACCACTAGACAGGAGTACCTGACATAACCATCACAGACAGGTATACCTGACATAACCAACAGACAGGTGTACCTGACATAACCATCACAGACAGGTGTACCTGACATTACCATCACAGACAGGTGTACCTGAAATAACCATCACAGACAGGTGTACCTGAAATAATCATCAGAAAGGTGTATCTGACATAATCACCAGACAGATGTACCTGACATAACCATCACAGACAGGTGTACCTGACATAATCACCAGACAGATGTACCTGACATAACCAACAGACAGGTGTACCTGCCATAACCATCAGAGACAGGTGTACCTGACATAATCATCACAGACAGGTGTACCTGAAACAACCATCACAGACAGGTGTACCTGACATAATCATCAGAAAGGTGTATCTGACATAATCACCAGACAGTTGTACCTGACATAACCATCACAGACAGGAATACCAGATATAACCACCAGACAAGAGTACCTGACATAACCATCACAGACAGGTGTACTTGACATAATCATCAGACAGGTGTACCTGACATAACCACCAGACAGGAATACCTGACATAACCATCACAGACAGGTGTACCTGACATAACCATCAGACAGGTGTACCTGACATAACCAACAGACAGGTGTACCTGACATAACCAACAGACAGGTGTAACTGACATAACCATCACAGACAGGTGTACCTGACATAACCATCACATACAGGTGTACCTGACATAATCGAGTTTTCCACAAAGACAGGTATTTCTTCATGCGTACACAAGCTCTAAGTATTCTACATTACGCCATATGTTTATATGTTTGTCAAAGAAGAAACAACTGAGTTGTCATATGATAATCATAATGTTTATTATCGTGTTCTTAATAAGTTTCACAGTCACTCTGCAATCAATTCCATAATGTATATCTATGTTAAGATATTCTTATTACTTTTGTATATATATACTGTAGAGTTAAACCGAAGGAGTGGTGGTAATTGAAAGGAATACACAAACCCGATTATAATTTTTTAAATAACCAAGGTATATACAAAAATACTACAAAGAAAAAAGTGCTACAGAATCCAAATACCACTAAGATTTCATCTCTCGCTTCACTTACAAGGAAAATAAGCGAATTGCTACTAACACAGATTTGACACTCAAATATACTTAATCAATCATGGTTATTGTAACAAAATATAACTTGTACTCAATTTTCCATGGCCAACACTAGCCTTAAACTGCAATACATCGGCCATTTCTCCCACTACTCGGCATCATGCTTGCCACCAAAGTGAATGTTTTTCTTCTCTGACCAGAGATCGGCCTATCTTATTTCTGATTGGCTAAAATAAAATAACAAGCAGCAAAATTCAAAACCCAAGTTACGCTACTTATATTTCTAATCCACAACATATCATAACTTAATTCAACAGGTCGAAATAATTAGAGAAACACATGTCATTTCTTGACATCTACAAGCATCAAACAGCCCTGTTAAAGTTATGTTATTTCTCAACATTCATACAAGGACAGTGTAGGCTGCTGGCATTTTAGGGTGTTAATGATATCAATATCATTGACCCTGACACATCATGAAATATGCTCAAAAGTATCTTGATATCATTATTTCTTTTGGTGTTTTAGCTTATACGAAATAAAATAGGGATAACCCTCATGCATTTTGAAATCTGCGGCAGTATATCGTGATTATACTGTCACAAATATCTGTTTTACTGGCTCCACTCCACCCAATTTGTGACTGTATAATCGTGATATACCACCGCAAATATCAAAACACGGTATGGTTATACACTCATTTTGAAGCTATTCAAGGTAATTAATAAATGTTGCAGAAAAGTATCAGCCTGAACAATATTATGACCAGTAACATATATTCCATGTACAGTCAGGATAAGCTTGCTGCTTTGTAATAAAGGCATTTTAATGGCTTTATTTTCTTTGTATGGAACTCTTGCTAAATATAAAGTACAGTCGAACCTCATTATCTCAAACTCTTTAAACACAAAGACCCCGTTTATCTCTAAGTATCTCTCTGGTCCCGGCCAAATCTCTTCTTTATCTTAGTAAATAAAACACAGATCATTCAAACCCTGAAAAGTCGAAAAACTCAGATACCTCCAAGTAAGATATTGGTTTCGATAGCGTAAATCTAACATCAAAACATCGTCTACTGCATAGTGTTCGAATTTCATTTTGTTACTTATTAATTCTTTGATACAAAGAAAACGCAAAAGTACGACATCTCGCCATTCCGTGTTTATAAACATCTTTCATGAGTAGACTAGCTAGCAAGAAATCGGTAAAAAGAATTTACGATAAAGCTTCAGACTGTTAAGTGTGCGAACTGTCAAAACCACGTTGTTCAGAATACAAATCAAACTTCATCAATGTTGATCAACAGTATTCTGTACGTACACGGTCACCCAAACAGACGACAGTGCAAACCGGAAAATTGGTCACAAAACGTGGTCATGCATAAAAGAGTTCCACAGTTAAAATCACAAC